TATAACATACATTGCATCATGCATCATGACATTGCATATAACTAACCCTTTACCTTTTCAGGTAAGACTAGTCGACAGACAAAAATCATTATCTCCCGAAATTCTTTCCAGGAATAGTTCAGATGTGACCCAGACATGACCATATTCTGATTCTTATTCCAGATTCATTCAGATGCAGTTTCACACGAGCTCATCATCAGGAAACCCTACGCCGGTTCTTTATTCAACTTCAAGATTTCTGAAAACAGTTCACGGGTTCTCCAAGTAACGGATGTTAACCTAGCGCTTGTTCAGATTCTTCTCCAGACTTCTGAAAACAGTTTATGGATTCTTCCCAACAACGGATGTTAATCTACCAACTTGTTCAGATGCAACCTCTGAAAACAGTTTACAGACACTTCCCAACAACGGATGCTGCTCTATTGCTTATTCAACTTCAAGATTTCTGAAAATAGTTTACGGGTTCTCCAAGTAACGGATGTTAACCTATCGCTTGTTCAGTTTCTTTTCAAGACTTCTGAAAACAGTTTATGGATTCTTCCCAACAACGGATGTTAATCTACCAACTTGTTCAGATGCAACCTCTGAAAACAGTTTACGGACACTTCCCAACAACGGATGCTGCTCTATTGCTTATTCAACTTCAAGATTTCTGAAAACAGTTTACGGGTTCTCCAAGTAACGGATGTTAACCTATCGCTTGTTCAGTTTCTTTTCAAGACTTCTGAAAACAGTTTATGGATTCTTCCCAACAACGGATGCTAATCTACCAACTTGTTCAGATGCAACCTTTGAAAACAGTTTAAGGATTCTTCCCAACAACGGATGTCAATCTATTGCTTATTCAAGCCCCAGTCCAGAGATGGTTCAAAACATGGACACCTTTCTGATCTTCATTCCAGATGGCATCTTTAAGCCCATCCCCGACAAGATTTTGTCACCCTTCCAGATGGCATCTTTAAGCCCATCTCCAAATGGCATCTTTAAGCCCATTTCCGCATCCATTGCTTTGACGAGTGCAAATTTAAGGGCACTCTAGTGTCCAATCTCCTTTTACCTTCGAGTCACGAAAGGCAAGATTGCCAATCTAACTCTTCAGGTTCAAGAAGATTGAACAGGGGCAACTGTTGTACCCTAAAATTTGCCCTCCCTTTCTTCAGGAAACCATCTTGGATTTTCAAGGTCCCTCTGAAACAAATCCAAGTCCTGAGTTATCCTTTTGCCCAAGCAAGCCACTTACAAGAGCAAGATGATCTCACGAACTCCAAAAACAACGCTTTTATCTTGAGAAAAATCAAATTCTAAGTACTTAGAACGTTTCTCTAAAATGTGTTTAAGAAAAAAATCAGCGCTTCAGAACTTCTGGACCCATTCCAGATAAAAACGGTCAGAAGTTGCAAGCTTGGCTCAGCGTGGTCAGAAGTTGGCTTTTCAGCAGCTACATCAGTTCAATCAGAAGTTGTAAACGTAGTTCAGTATGTAAGCCTCAGACAGAACACGCCCCTTCAGCAGTTACACAAGCTCAGTCAGAATTTGCTAAAGGAATGCAAGAGAAGCAGGGAAGTCTGAAGACTCTTTCAGAACATGCTGAAATCAGAAGATGAAAGGTCAGAAGAATGGGTGTTACACTGATACAGAATCTCTAAGCCCAGGAGGTCCAGAAGTAAATCCAAGGAACGTATCAGAAAATCAGGAGAATCTCCAGAGCTTACTAAGACAACAGGAAGCCAAGGCCAGAGCATGGTTTACGCTGTTCTTTTTAAAATAGAACTGCTGATTCAACGTTGGTTTCCATTACCAGAATATTGATGTTGATAGGTCTTATCACCATTTAATGCCCATTAATGCTTCCAACCACTCCTGAACATTCACGTGTGGCTTGGAAAACGCTTTTGTGCAGATTCTGGCATGGGTCTGCACACCACCGCCCACTTCAGAGGTCACTTCTCCCCAATCTACGCCTGCTTCTGCAGCCTAGGCTGAAGGCTATCTGTTATCACAACTTCCCAGGAATTTCTGTCAAAGAACAAATTCAAACTCTGTTGGCGCTTTAATGTTCAAGGCACCCACAAGAACTTTGCATATAAATAGAGAGTCTTCACCACTACAAAAGGGGTTCAAAGGAAGAAACAGAAAAATTGCTAAGTGAGAAACAGAACTCTTAGCAACATAGCGTTCTGAAACTCTGCCAAAATCTCCAGTTTGTTTCATAACTTTGAGTTTCTCACCTTAAAACTTCATCAAATACCCAGTTTTCTTTGTGAACCAAAAACACCCTTTCCAAACTTCTGACCCTACATACGTATACACCTTTACCTACCCTTTCAAAGAAAATCTGTCCAGAACACCACCAGAGCCAAAAGCTAACTTTCACCCACAAACTTTTCCAACAATCAGGTAAGCACCTGCTGACCCTCATCACGCTGTTAAGCATCATCAGCTGTGCATACTCAAATAAACATAATGTAAATATCATGTTATTGATGTTTATGTTCTGAAGATTTTCATACCTCAGAATGTTCTGAGCCAGTATAGGACTTGCCTGTGACCTTGTTGGTTCTGACCTCTGAAACATTTTTGTATTTGCTGGATCTGTTCCAAATATGTTTCCTGTTTTGTGGAATAACAACATAATTGCAGATGTTCTGATTAGTACAGGGAAAAGCTAAGTGCTAACTTTGACGTTAGCACATCTGAAGCCTGTTTTGCTGTCAATGATATCAGAACCTCTGAGAGTTATTGCCTTTTCAGCAGAATCAGAACTTATGGTTTCTCCACTAACAAACTTCTGTCTTGCAGCACAGGGGAATCAGAACTTCTGATTTCCCCACTAACAAGGTTCTGTTTTGCAGGTGCCAGAGTCAGAAGTTCTGACTCATACAGTTTAACCAAGAGGTTGATCATCTGGCAGCGGATCTGAGTCAGAACTTCTGATGACCTCCCAGCAGCGCGCGGGCTCCCTCTCTCTCTCTCTATATATCTTGTTTTTTGCTATTTTCTTTTTTGTCTATTTTTCTCGTTGAACCCCCCATGTACAAATGTGTATCCCCCTCCCCTAATTGTTGTAATAGCGTAGGATTTTATATTTCCGCTTCTTATTACTAGTAATTAGGACATGTATGGCAAGATAAAATCAATGAAATAGAAAAACCTAATTCAAAGAAAAAACTCTTGTATGCAATAAAACACACTCGCACACTAACACCCCTAGGGTTACATCCACTTCTTGCCTTTCAAAATTAGGCCATATTGCATGTTAGGTCTCTTTGGGCAAAACAAACAATTCAAATGATCATAGTCCCTCGATGACGCTTTCGAAAGTTGCCTAAAAATGATCAAGTCCCTTAAAGGAAAATTGCCCAAAGATACTTAGCACTATTGCAATTATGGTCTAAACGATGACCCGCGCCCGTCCCTTTCACATCCTAACACAAGATTGTCCACCAAGTACAATGGTGGAACAAAATTGTTAAAAGGGTTAAAACATAACAAAAATCTTTGAGAACTTTAAAGTAGATAACTCTTAAGTACTTGTCAACTTGCAAAACAAAAACACTTGCCTATTTTTCAAACCACACTTCACAAACACTTTCAAAACAAACTTTCAAAAAACCTTGAAACATCTTTTCAAAAAGACAAACACCTTTTGTAAAACATTCGAGTAAAGAATTGTTACAAGGGTAGCCTATACAAGGCATCTTTTTCAAACCCTTTTCAAAAAAACCACACATAAAGCACCATTTCAAACAATTGAAAACCAAGGCAAGTTGATCTAAGCAAGTACCTAAGAGCCCATGGATAACCATGGATAGAAAGGGTGCTAATACCTTCCCTTTCTATAATCTACTCCCGAACCCAAGAAAAATCTCAAAGGTTTTTGCTGTACTTTTTAAACCTTTCCTTAGGATAAAATAAAAAGTCGGTGGCGACTCTTGCTCAACCGAAACATTTGCGAAACAAAACGCAAAACCACATTCAGTTCTCCCACCGTATCACAGGGGGTCTCTACCTAAAGTTATCATGCCCAAGATAGTCCTAAAAGTCTATATTTTGATTCAATTTAATTAAGTCAAAGACTTTTGATTAAATTGAATCAAAACATCCTAAGGGAACATGAAACAATTAACCCATTATAGGTCGTAACATGCACACAAATCATTCATCAATACTCAAGCATTTTATTCAAACAATATCACACAAAATTGCATAAAAAATTATAGCAAATTTAGAAACAATCATAAAAAGAAAGAAAGGATTAATAGAAAAAAGTTCACTTAAATTCTAAAAAAAAAGTCCTAAAATATTAACATATTTTTTAATATTTTTTATTTATTATTAAAACGTATTATGTAAAAAAAGAAAAATTAAAAATAAAAAACTAAGTCAAAAAGAAAATAGAAGAGTTAGGGGGGTGCTGTGTAGATCCAATGAGTATGATCCAATAGTCTGGCGCATAGGCCCAATCAGTAAGGGTCCATTATGACTTTTGTTCAGACAAGCTTGCCAAAATTGGTGTATGGGCCATGAGGAGGGTGTATGCGTAGCAATCTGTATCAAAGCCCAAGCGTTCTGATCCAATCTTATCAATTATCGAATCTTTATTCATTTGAAATTTATTACTCAATTTTTTTACCTATTGGAGGAAAATGAGACTTAGACCATCTCCAACGCCAAGCAAATAGCGTTTCGTCCGCCAGCTGTCCAATTTTTTTAACAAACACAGTTCGCCACGCATGTTGCAAGTAAATTGTAATGCAACGGTACAATATATTAAAATAATATTAAAAATATAGCTGTTGTTTAACGGCTCTTTTACTTTTTCTTTTTTGTTTTTTTTATAAATATTTTGTTTGGTTATAAATAGAACCCAATATTTTTCAAATTGTATCTCATAAATTTATTTCTCTCACACAATTTTATCATCTTATTAGCCTTCAATTGATCATATATTTTACCAAATTTTTTATTTTATTTGTTCAAATTATTATTGTTAAGGTCAAATGGACCCTAACCAATATAATTTTCAACAATCTATGTTCCATCTCATACAAAATCAGCAAAATTCTAATCCTCAAAATTCTCAATTTCCCCCACCACCAACAAATTCTACCGTATTTTTTTCGTCACCAAACAACCCAAATATGTATTTTAGACCACAAATAAATACTCATGGGATGAATTTTTCTCATCATGAACCCGAAACACCAAATGGGTTTATGTCCGAACGCCAAGTTCCACAATTTTCAACTCAAGTTGGTATTGAAAATAATACAATTGATAAAGAACAAAGGCGTCCAGTTAAAAGAAAACCTCGAGAGGTATTCACAAGGGAAGAAGATACACTTCTTATGCAATCATGGCTCAATGTTTCAAAGGATCCAATTGTGGGAGTTGATCAAAAAGTCGATAGCTTTTGGTTAAGAATCACCGATAATTATAACCAATATCGTGGGCAGTCACGAGAAAAGCTACAAGGCCAATTAAAATCTCGATGGCATCGAATAAATAGCCTTGTTCAAAAATTTGTTGGGTGTTACAAACAAGCTGTTCATGGAAAAAAAAGTGGGGCATCAGAGAAAGATATCTTAGTCAATGCACATGCTTTTTTTGAACAAGATGAAGGTGCACCATTCAATCTTGAGTATGCATGGAGGCTTTTAAAAGATGAACCTAAATGGATGGGAGCATCCACTGAAAATTCTTCAAAGAGATCAAAGAATTCTACTAGTGGTGCATACACGGCATCGCCAAACTCATAGACACCTTCAAGTTATGAGTTTAACTCATCATCTCCAATGGAGCGTCCTATGGGACAAAAGGCGGAAAAACGAAAAGGTAAGGCAAAGGAAAATACAAATGCAACTGAACCTCCTTCTAGTGTTAATTCTGATACAATGACTAAAAGAATGAATTTAATGGAAAATCTAGCACGGCTTAAGGAGGAAGAAAACAAATTAGTCAAGGAAAAGATGGAGTCTGAAGCACGACTTAAGGAGGAAGAAAACAAATTAATAAAGGAAAAGATGGAGTTTTAAGTAATGCAATTCATAATGTCAGACACTTCTAAGATGAATGATAGTCAGCGTGAATTTCATGAAAAACGGTGTAATAACCTAAAAGAAAAATATGGATGGTAATAATATGCAATGTTCTAGTATTTATTATATTTAAATATTATGTAGTACTTGTTATGTATCAACTATTGTAATAAGATGCAACATTTTAGTATTTATTTTATTTCAAATATTATTCAAACTAGCCGTTATTCAAATTAAATATTATTCAAACTAGCCGTTATTCAAATTAAATATTATTCAAACTAGCCGTTATTCAAACTAGCCGTTATTCAAACTAGCCGTTATTCAAATTAAATATTATTCAAACTATCCGTTATTCAAATTAAATATTATTCAAACTAGCCGTTATTCAAATTAAATATTATTCAAACTAGCCTTATATATACCTTCATTCTTTAATCACTTTTCTATCACCCTCTCTCATTCTTCAATCATTTTCCTACCATCCTTCTCTCATTCTTTTATCATTTTTATATCACCATTCCCTCACTTCAATGGATTCAAACACTTCAAACAACCTCAACAAACTTTTTTGGGAGGTGATTTAAGAAGAACTAATGGACAACACAGATGAAGAACTATTGTTGTCAATGCTCGAGAAGGAACGTCAATCTGGAAGTTCATCAAGGAAAAAAAGAAGATCAGTGATAAATCGGAATCGCAAAGAAGGGCATATACGATTAGTCAACGACTACTTCTCAGAAAATCCAGTATACACAGATTCCCAATTTCGTAGAAGGTTTAGAATGCATAGGCATTTATTTCTTCGAATTGTAGAAACCCTTGGAAATCATGATGAATATTTTCAAATGAGGGTCGATGCAACTGGTAAAATGGGTCTTTCACCATTGCAGAAGTGCACTTCTGCTATTCGAATGTTAGCATATGGATCTTCTGCTGACATTGTAGACGAATATGTTCGAATTGGTGAAAGCACTGCAATTGAGTGCTTAGAGAGATTCGTAAGGGGCGTGAATGAGGTATTTGGGGCCGAGTATTTGCGAAGGCCTAATAACAATGATGTTGAACATCTTTTACAAATGGGGGAGTCGCGTGGATTCCCAGGCATGCTAGGTTCCATTGATTGTATGCATTGGGAATGGAAGAATTGTTCTGTTGCATGGAAAGGACAATTTTGTCGAGGTGATCATGGTAAACCCACGATCATGCTTGAAGCAGTTGCATCGCAAGACCTGTGGATTTGGCATGCATTTTTTGGTGTTGCAGGTTCAAATAATGACATTAATGTGTTAAACCAATCCAATGTGTTTAATGATATTTTGGAAGGACGTGCTGCTAGTGTGCAATATACAATCAATGGAACTCCATATAATATGGGGTATTATTTAGCGGATGGTATATATCCTGAGTGGGCTACATTTGTTAAAACCATTTCGATGCCACAAGGAGAAAAGAGAAAACTATTTGCACAACACCAAGAATCAGCTAGAAAGGATGTGGAACGGGCATTTGGAATGCTTCAATCTTGTTTTGCAATAATACGTGGTCCAGCGTGTGCTTGGCACATGGAAACCCTCAAGCATACCATATATGCTTGCATCATATTGCACAACATGATTGTCGAAGACGAACGACATACATATGGAGGTGATTTTGATTACTCTTACGATAATGCAGGTAACAACAACTCAACGACTGAAACATTTAACGGTCCTCATCCGAATCTTGCAACAAGACTACAAAGAAGAACAACTCTTCGTGAAAAACAAGTTCATCGCAAACTTCAAGGAGATCTAGTCGAGTATATTTGGGAACATTTTGGACATGTGGACGATGGAAATTAAATTTGAGTAATTTTGTTATGTAACTTATTTTTATTGTTTTTAATTATATTTTTATTATTTTTATTATTTTTAAATATATGTTATGTATTTGAGATTAATTTTAATTATTATTTTAATATTTTATGTTTAATTTTATTTATTTTATATTAATTTAATTTAAATAATTTAGGTTATTATTTTAAATCAAATAAAATATAGTATGAATAAAATATTAATATACAAAGTAAAATTGTAGGACCCAATATGAGTTCTTTAGAATTACACCATTTGAGTGAAAATTGAAGTGAGTTGCTTCAAGATGATGTGGATCAATGGGTCCCACAAAGAACCAAATAATAGGTTGCACCATTGGAGATTCTCTTACCTATTGGAGTGATGATGAGTTTATATAATTGATTAGGGTTGAGGAAGTTAGTTAGAGAGCTATGAATCTGAGCCATTGGATGATGAGAGACTATTAGAGAATCAGTGGTGGAGATGAGGTCGATTAGAGTTGGTTGATTCTGTTACATAAGCTGAAAAGTTAGTTAGTTAAATAAAGGTTTGTATTGCTAGTTAGTTTTGGTTATTTGAGATGGCAAATGGATCAAGTGAGGATAATTTTTTTTTGTTATGTTAATTTTGTTAAATGTAGTTAATAGTTAGGATTAGTGGACTATTAGTTAGTAAAAAAATTGTTGAGAAATTAGTTAGTAGAATTTGAAGGAACATGTTAGCTTGAAGGTAAACTTGTTAATGGTTAAAGTAACTTTGTTAAATGCAGCTAGTTAGGAATACCAAGGAAATTCTGTTAAGAATTTGAATGTTAGTTAGTTAATTATGTTGGTGAGAACTTGTTAGCTTATCGGTTAATAGATGTTAGGTTATCTGGTAAAACTGAAAAATCAGAATTTTGTGTGTTAAAAAATGTATGCCAAGTTAGTGTAAGTTGTTAGCTTTGGTTCATGGGAAAACTATTGTTAAGGCATATGTATGTAGTAGCTTTGGCCTTGGATATACATTGAAATGTGATTGAGCTGACTTGTATATGTACTTGAACATGACACGATTGAATGCTAATGAGTGTAAAAATACAATGTTTCCTTTTTTAAGTATTTCTGGATGCAATGATCTTCAGTGGAATGAACATGATTTTTTGTGAACTTGCAGTAGCTGTTATCCTCTTCTCTCTTTTTCTGGGAAGAACCATTACTCAATTTTTCTCAGCATGTTGCTTCTAGGTTTATAGAACTTTTGCATTGATTTGAATTGTGAGATAGTTTGCGTACGTAACTTGAACCATGTGCATATGATCACCTATGAACCAAATGTTTGAAATGTATTTAACATGCTTGGTTTATGTATGTTGTGATGTGCACAATTATTGAATGAACATTGGTCTTGTATTAAACTATATGCACTTTTGTCCACTTGCCTCTTGATTTAAGTCATCTGGTTCATTGAACATATGAGATGAAATGTATGGCTATATTGCATTATGCTGTGGAATTGATCCTGAATGTGTATGGCTTTGCAAGTCTTACATGAAATCAAGTATATTTCCACCTTTGTTGCTTGGACATGAAGGATGAAGAATGAAGGAAATCAGTTAACAATAGGAAGCATGGCTATGTGGAGTTTTATCCCCTTCTATGCAGGTCTGGCGTGACCGTTTAGCATGTTCAAATGGTGTTTTGTTGTGCTTCAGGTTTGATGTATATGTCATATCACTTTTGAATGCACGATTGGATGTTTGCCTTTTGGTTTTGTTTCGTATGCCATGCATGAACTTGAGATGACTAGGGGATTGCATTGTCCCTACATCATGAGACGATTTTTGAACATGAATCCTGATGTGAAATTTTGGTGCATTGGTATATAAAGGGATGTTCGCGGTGTGGTTTGGACGATTTTAATGCTAAAAGTCTTCTGAACCGCAAAAGAAAAAAATGTGCAATTTGATTTGGTTCGGTTGACTTTTAGAAAAAAACGAACTAAATCAAACCAAACTAATGCGGTCTGGTTCAGTTTGGTTGGTTCGGTTTTTTACAAATATTTTATTGAACCATACATACACATATAGATGACAATATAACTTGGTTTTTAGTCATTCATACACTACCAAATAACAATAAAACCCATCATATTTGAACAAAAACTTCCCATTTTATATGTAAAATTTAGATTAGGCAAAAGTGGAATAATAAACATAAAATAATAGAATAAAACAATATAAAAAATGTTATAATGAAACAGAAAAATAGAAGAAATGAGAGATTAGTGAAGATGAAAAAGAAAGAATAAAAGAGATTAGAGATTAGAGAAGAAGATGTGCAATAAAAATGAATTTGGAAGATAGAACAATTGCATAAAAATGAAAAGGTTAAAAAGAAAGAATATAAAAGAGTAGAGATTAGAGAAGAAAAGGTAAGATGTATATGCCGAAGAAGGCGCGATAATGCACTGAGATATTTGAGAAGACTGAAACAGAAATCCTAAGTGTAAGGAAGAGAAAATCGTTTGTAATCATAAGGCTAAGGTATAATAGGGTTAGGTTTTGGTTAGATGTGAGTTAAGTAAAGTTTAGGTTGTAACATAACGTGGTTTGATTCGATTTGGTTCGGTTTTCAAAATACTGACTGCAAACCGAACCAAATCGTGCGATTTTGTTAAAATATGGCTCAAACACATCCGAGCCAAATGTGGTTTTTTAAGGATTCAGTTTGGTTTGGTTTGATTTGAAGTTTTCTATTGGGATGGTTTGGTTTTGAACACCCCAATGATACAAGTGTTATGCTTCGGTAACGTCTTGCTTTGTCATGAAAAAAATGATTGATACTTTGGAAAATAGTGAAGAAGAAAAGGAATATGGCTTGAAGATGGAACATGGTAGAAGAA